TGGAAGTGAGAATGGCCAGACTTCGTCTCACCTACTTTGGTCATGTTGTCAGAAGGGACCATTCCCTGGAGAAGAATGTCATGCTTGGTAAGGTGGAGGATCGACAAAAGAGGGGAAGGCCCTCAACAAGATGGATTGACACAGTGGCTGTGGCGATGGGTTCAAGTAAAGCAAGGACTGTGGAGCTGGGGCAGGACGGGGCAGTGTTTCCTTCTGCTGTGCATAGGGTCACTATGAGTCAGAGATGATTCAAAGGCACCTAACAACAACAACAGTCCCACCTGGGAAGAAAGCCCCCACCCTGCCCCAACTGGGAGCTGGGTGGGAAGAGTCCTGCATTCTGTCTGCACCAGCTGGAGTGGCGGTTCACATCTCATAAGCTGGGAAGAAGAAAGAAGGAGTGGTAGTGGTTCAACTACACTGACCCTCACTGTTCTTAAAGGGTGTAGTAGATTTTCTTGAATAGATGCTTCATTTGCTGTATGCCCTTAGGACCAATTGCAGGGACTTTAAATGACAGGGCTTTGTCATTTTCAGCAGTTTTGCTGGAGACTGAGTTGGCAAACTCCTCTACTGATATGCCCCCCAAGTCCTTCCTGTGTCTCAGCCTCTTAAGATCAACTTGTGCACAGTATGCTCCCTGCAGTCATAACGTTGGAGTGAATCCTGACTCTGCCACCTACATACTGTGTAAACCAAGGCAACTTGCCCAAACGCTCTGTGCCTCTGTTTCCCTCATCTTTCAGAGGAGGACAGTGACCATTTCTCCCTTAGAGTGTTGACTACGCCTACAACAGAGCCTGACATAGAATAAGCACAAGCTTATAAAATGAGCATTTAATAAATGTTACTTATCACTGTATTTTACATAATGACTATTTGATTAGCACCAGCAAATCGTGAGAATATGGATGCTTTAAGAGTAATTTTGAGTCTTACAAAATTCTAGAGTATTACCAGGAGCCCTGGTGCACAGTGGTTTAGCTCTCAGCTGCAAACCAAAAGGTCAGCAATTCGAACCCACCCAGCAGCTCCACAGGAGAAAGACGTGGCAATCTGCTTCTGGAAAGATGACAGCCAAGAGCACCCTACAGGGCACCTCACTGGGCCCCACGCAGTCACTGTGAGTCGGTAAGGGACTCAACACCGGCCAACAACAGGGTATTACAAGTGGCATTCCAGTTACTGCTGTCACATGGTCTACAATTTCAATACCCAGAAAAGAGTTACAAAATCCCAACAAAGAACAGGCCCATAGTCTAGAGTTTCCAACCTGGTCAGCGTTGTCCCCAGGGGATATCTAGCACTGTTGGGAGTCATCGTGGCTGTCACACGGGGAGGGGAAGGAGTGTGGTACTGGGAACTGAAGGAGAGAGGCCAGGGATGGTGCTAAACATCTCCCACTGCGCAGGGCAGCCCCCAAAGAACTG